GTGCCGGTCTTCGGGCCTCATCATTGGCTGGCGAAGGATGATGTCATTTCTGTGCATGCGCAGGAGGCCGTCATATAAATTCTGCATAATAATAATCAAAGCAGTGTAAACTGGGCTGCGCCTGTGCCTGAGTAGACGGTGAGCAGGCAAGTAGGAGCATTTTATTGCAGAAGAGACAGTGCATGACCAGGGGCGGACTGACCATTTGGAAACTTGGGCACTGCCTGAGGGCCCGGGGTCAGTAGGGGGCCCCATGAGATGCCCTTGGTACCTTTTTCATAGGCTTTTTTGAGTTTGGGCAAGGACACAGGGGCCCCATGATCCCCTATTGCCGGGGGGGCCCCATGAGTTGTCAGTCCGCCCCTGTGCATGACTCTTCTGCAGTAAAAGCTTGCCTGCTTGCAGTCTCTGGCAGCGAAAGGGTTACAGTTGATTAAAAAAAAAACTATGGAAGTCACATGCTTCCTGCTGAGAGTGGAGCTCCAGTTTGCAGCCTGATACTCTTGGGAAATGCAGATGTGGCAGGAAACATGTGACCTCCACTTCCACGACATGTGTCTATTGTTTATTTGTTACATTAAAGTTCATTTAAAAAAAAGTTGGAGTGGAGGTCACATGCTTCCTGTCGAGTGGAGCTTCAGTCAGCAGCCATTGGTTGTTTGTTGGATTAAAGTTCATAAAAAATAGATTGGAGGTCACATGTTTCCTGTTGAAAGTGGAGCTCCAGTCTGCTGCCAGACTCCTCTCGCTGATTGTGCAGCATGTTGTGAGGCCCGGGGCTGGGAGTATTATCTCATGGCTTCTCACCGGGGGGTCCGAGATATGTAGTGACCGCAAGTGACTGACAGGTAATCAGTGTGTATGGCGGTGCACGGGTCACATGATGGTGTGTGTGATACCTGGGGGGCTGACAGCTGCTCCTAGGAGACTGTGTGTGTGTCCTGTACATATCTCTGTGTCTGTAGTGTGGGAACAGATTCTGCATGTCTTCTTCATTCTCTCCTCATGTCATGGAGGTTGCTTTGAGTGGATGTAAAATAAACATGTGCTCTCTGCCTTACCTATGGAACGTAAAGTCTGATTTCCTCCCTCTGCTCATTTTCATCACTGTTCTGTAATAATGACCAAGCATGGCGCTATACTTGATGGTGCACCTGAACTCCATGAACCTTCAAGTAGAAGTAAGTTTTCAGATTTGTGCTTAAACTGCTGCACCTTTGAAAAGCAATCTGCTGGAACTAGTGTAGTTTACCTTTTATAGAAAATATGTAAGGTGACCTTACTGATGGTGCGGACCAATCAGAATCCTTCTAGCCCGTCCATTCAGCACTGCGAGGAGAGAACACCAGTCTGAGGATTTGAACCCCTGGATAAGCAGCGTCCAGTGCCTGTCAGTGGGTAATGGTGGGACACTGGTACAGCGGGAGAGGGGTCGAGTGTAAGGTCACCTTACAGATTTTCTGTAAAGGTGAACTTACACTTTAAAATGGTTGTATTCATCCGACATGATATATGAACAAAGCATATCCCTCTATAGTGTGTACTTGTCTCAATCCAGAGCATTAAGTGTTATTTCTGTCTGCCTCTTTCCTCTGCTATCAGCATAAATCACTTCTGAAGAGTTTTCCTGACCCCAAGAGAAAAATGGTGACGGGGAGGGATCTCCAGTAGATTCACAGCCTCAGCTCTGTTCCTGTGTACTCTATGAAAGGGGGGGGGGGGGGGTCCCTTACCTCCAATCAGCTCTTAGAGCTTTGCATTGTGTAATTTCAGCTCTCCGCTTTTTTTTTTCTATGAACTCTCAGACAAACTTTATAAATTTAGCGCTTTGAACACGTAGAGAAGAGAAGACTGCAGATAAACAGGTAAAACTTATGTTGGAGGATTTGTATGAACTCTATGTATTACCTGAGGTCAGTCACTTCAATGGGTATATGTAAGGGTTAACTATCACTTAAAAAAAAGACCCTGTCTTTAGGTGCTTTAAGGCATTGGTCTGCACAATGTGGCCCTTTACTTGTCTTCGGGAACTATTCCACTGACATTAACAATGGGGCATAATTCCTGCCACTAACACCAACAGTGGGGCACTTCCCTTACTGACACCAATGATGATGGGTGCTACTATCCCTCTCACTGACTTCAATGATGGGGTGCTACTATCCCTCTCACTGACTTCAATGATGGGGGTGCTACTATCCCTCTCACTGACTTCAATGATGGGGTGCTACTATCCCTCTCACTGACTTCAATGATGGGGTGCTACTATCCTTCTCACTGACTTCAATGATGGGGTGCTACTATCCCTCTCATTGACACCAATGATGGGGCTTTGTTGCCGACCCCTGGACAATTTCTGCTTCTACTGGCCACAGGCTGTCCCTCCTAAAGTCTGAATCATAATTATCTGACACTTTGTTTAGAAAATGTGGAGACCCCTGATTTACCCTCCGTTCACATCAAGCCCGACTTTAAAATCGTGTGACTTACAGTGAAGTTGCACGATTTCAGAGTCGGGGGGCATGCTGAATTCAAGTGCGATTTGCAAGACGTGATAACAATGTATATGCAAATCACACCAAAAGTAGTGCATGTACTACTTTTGAAATCGGTGCGGCTCCAACCAAGTCGGAACCGCACGGATATGACCACTCCAATTGTGGACAATAGGGTGCGACTTGACATGCAATTTGCAAGTCGCAGGACATGCAAATCGCATGCCAAATCGCATCCAGTGTGAACCGGGGCTTAAGGGTTGGCTATTTTAGGCCGTGTCTTTTTGTTTTGTTTTTTTTTTTTTCTTTCCATTCATCTTAAAGGAGGCAGCCCTACCCTACATACAACAAATGCGCCAAAGCGTTTTTTTGTTTGTGTTTTTTTTGCAGATAGCCTCATGCATTTTTGCCATGCACGTTTTAGTGCACAGCAACGTTCGTGGCTGTTACCCGCATTTGGGGCCCCATTAAGAATTAATGGCACTACAAGCTCAAGCTGCATTATGCTGTGTTTTTCAAAGTGAAGTCTTATAAAAATAAAGCATGGAGATAAGGATGGATGGGAGAGTTGGCTTTGAATATTGGTTTGTGATGCTCAGATGCAGTGTAGTTCTACGTTAAAGGATAAGTTTGACTTTAGAAACGTTTCATGCAACAGCCAACCCCCCCCCCCCCCCCCATTTCGATCCCTCACTGTGGCAACAGGCAGAGGATCTTCTCCCCACATCTACTGTCACAATTTAAAACCAGCGGGGCTCCACCCGCACAGCCCTGTCCCTCATTCACTGTGTTCTGTGAATGAATGAACTACAAGTATCATCTTCCACCATGGCAGAGAGCCTGTACGTCTCAATGAGCTGTGAGCACCCTCATAGTTCATTGAGATTTTGGAAACTATCGGGAGGTCTGGGCAGACATCTGTACTGAGAGTCTGCAAAAGCCTGACATTGCACCAGCAATCTGCTGATTACAGGTGCAATACTCTGCAGGCACATAATAATAAATAAATATATAAATGCTTTTTTTTTTTTTTTTTTGCCTGCAGAAAATGTGCAAATAATAATATATATATTACATTTTATAAGTGAACCTGTCCTTTTAAAGGTTGAGGCTTTGGTTTAGGAGACCTTGCCCTTTCCTATCAAAATAATTCACCATATTTACTTGTTTATGCAGTAGTCTAAAATATGTATAAGCCTGGAGAATCTCATGTTGTCCTCTGGGAATTAACACCTACACAGACTTCCTGATACCAAGGATGGAATTCTGTAACTTTCCACAACTTTTACACCTCCCATTCTGTTCTTGGGCAGTCAACATCTACATAGTCCATGGTGACTGGATAAACGTGCCTGTGCTAACTGTGTGGATATCAATGACTGGGCATCTTCCTGACACTCATTGGAACTGAAGAAAAAAATGACAGAACAAATCCAGCTGAATGGAACGAACAAATACTAGCTATACCATAAACAGACTAAATGAGAACCTTCACAGACCCTGAACTCAGTGCTGCTTTTCTATGTTCAGAAGTTCCAGTCCTCATAAATCTGATGGTCCCCACAGTGTCTGTCCTCTTGTCTAACTGGAGCAACATATTCACCATAGCACTTCCTGATAGTATTCGATATTTAATATTTAGCGCTGCACTTTTTTATTTATACCAAGTCTTGTGAGTCTTGTTACCTTTGGCCAGTTTGTGCTAGCAGCTTTAGACATTCAGCGCTTGCCATATATCTTGTATTCTAACTGCTGCAACAACTTGGGGTGACAAGATTAACACAATAGGATTTACAGCAATAACCGTGCAATAAATTGTGCGACATTCGAGACAAAACCGCACTGTGTTTTAGGTGCCTTTGAAAATAATGGTTCTTGAACCTGCATTTTGCGATTTGTGCATTTTGAGATCGCAGACAGAATCGCAGTGGTGCTGCCACAATCCCAAAATGCTTTGGTCCCAGTTCACACAGATGCGGATCAGATGCGATCTAAAAGGTATAGATTCACATGGCATCTGAAAATAATTTTTTTTTCTTTTGAATGACTTTCACATGTGGTGTGATTTAGATACAGTTAAAAAAGCATCCTATGCAAGTTTTGGAGTGATGTAGTCCAAACTTGCACAGCATCGAGTATAGTGGCATTCTGAGAACTGTTCATATAGGATGCGATTCATATCTGGTTTCGCGTAGAAGTGACTGGAAGACAGATTTGAATCACACCTGAACCAGTGAACAACTACTTTTGACAATTGCACATGAAAATCGCACCGCATAAAGTAAACCCTGCTGCTTTCCTGCAGCAGAGCTAAATGTAAAAAGTAAAACCCCAAACACCAGCCTGGCGCCCAGAACCACATGTGTCAGGCGATATGATTTGCACACCCCTGATGTAAACAGGCTCTAAATCAGTGTTGGCACTGTGACACAGAGTTTGTCATTTGAAGAGACTAAAGAGTGTGTTTTATTTTCTAGAATTGCACCTTTTTTACCGCTAACAGAGATGGATGCTCCATGGCGTCAAGGTGGCCGAGGTCGAGCAAGAGGTCGAGGTAATACTGTCAATGGAGGACCATCTCCAGCTCCAGGCCCAGCAGCTGCCAGAAATGCTGCTTATTCAAGAGAAGATGTAAATAGTGTATCCAGACCTGGTCCTGGAAGAGGGAACGTTTCCTATGCTTCCGTAAGCAAGCCCTTGAATGCACTGCACACAAGTGAAGTTAATGGTAAGTAGTACTGTATATGCGATACAACTGATCAGTCCCCTACATACATTAATCAATTGTGTAAATCCAGATGTTATGTATTAGTGGCTTGCCAAGAGGCCAGTATGAAACAGCTTGTACCCCATTGCCTTAGACAAATTGGACAATTCTAATATGAAATGGATTCTCTATACAAATGTGTGATGGGGGTGCAGAGAAGATAAATGTTATACATTGGTTCTTCCGTTGAGAAGTACAGAGACCTTGAGAAGACATATTTAACTATCTAAAAGATGATACCTAAAATAAGATATATAATGGAAACGGGGTTTATGAAAAAAAAATAGCCTGCTGCTAAGAGAGAGAGGGCCTGTTTGTATTAAACAGACTCAGTAAAATCGCACTAGTCACTGAACTAGTGTGAATTGGCCCAAAAGGAGGCAACAGGAAAGCAGAATATAAGCAGAATAACCATTAGTTATATGGGCTCATGCACATAGCTGTATCTGACCATATAGCATGATTTCCCACGTATTCCCAATCAGGGAATCCACAGGTGCTGCAAACAGCTGTCTATAGAAGCCAATAGCTGTTTGCAGCTTTATGTGTGTTGACAGAAGTAGCTGTGTAGACAAGCATATGCCTACAATGCTGGCTGCAGAAATTTGTATCCAGAATCGTCTGCCTATACACATACTTGTGTTCATGTAAGTATACACTGGAATTTACACTGAACATCCATGTGCATGAGCCCAAAGGGTAATCCATAGCGGTTTTGGATATACTTTATTATAGTCGGGACTACAAGTTTTTTTAACCACTTGCCACCCGTAGGATGTCATATGACGTCCTAGAGCGTCAGTGGTGATACCAGGATGATGCCTAGCTATGACTCAATCACATGTACAGGCTGTGGAAGGGAGGCCACACAATGGAAGGGGGAAGTGAGGATTTTGTCACTTCCATTTCCCATTTGTTTGTTGAGGAGTCCTCACCAGCATCTGTTTGATCAAATGCTTTGGAAGCCAGAAGAGAGATCTGGAGTCTAAAAGACCCAAGATCTCTCCATTAAGAGGACCTGTCACAGCCCATGATATAAGGGAGGTTGTTCATCCCTTGTGATAGCAATATAGTTAATATAAAATAAAGGTACAGTGGTAAAAAAAAAAAAAGTTTAAATGTAATAATTAAAAAGAAATACTTGTTCCGGTATCTGTCAGATACATTTTTTTGTGAGAAAGTTTGTCACAACTGTGGTATGTTTGTTTTTTTTTTTTTTTTTTTTCTTTTTAAGTGAATAGCTCTAAGAAGAAGTTTGAAGAGATCCAGAGAGCCAACCAGGCAGTAGTAAGAAAGATTGTAGAAGACAATTATAGCTCATCAGATGAAGATGATGAAGAGATGAAGATGCTGAAGGGAAACAGAAAAAAATATTAGATTTAACATTTACAACCTATACTAACCAAACAGGTAATTCTATTTCTTAGTCACAGTGTGGTATGGTGGTAACTCCACTTTGTAAATGGTATGACTCTATTGGTATTAGGGCAGAAAAAAAAGCTGTAATTGCTGTACATAGTCTATCAAAAACACTTTGGAAGAGTAAAATATTGTTTGGCTCAGGGTGATGTGTCACAACAGTAGGTAAAATTTCTGACTTGAAGAGCTGTTACTAGTTCACATTAGTAGATGGTAGTGTAAGTCAAATTGTAGCTCCTTATAAAGTGGAGCGTTAAAAGGAGAGAGGGTGGTCATTTAGGGATCCTTTACATCTGTGTGTATGTTGACATCTGGTATTCCACCCATTCCCTTGCTTTGTTTTAAGGCAACCAGTCAATTTTTATGCCTTGTCAGTGCTTTGGTGTTCTGCAGTGCATGTGCATTGGTGTACCTTTCAAAATGAATGGCACCACAATACTGATCTTATAGTTGTGAAGCTGGACTTAAAGTAATTGTTATTTAAGAGATAAATTCCCTGTACAAACCTGTCATACATACCTGCTCTGTGCAGTGGATTAGAACCTGATCATCCTCTTCTCAGGTGCCCTGCCAGCGCTCCTGGCCCCTCCCCCCCTGCTGAGTAACCACTTGCTATGGATCACTTGTGAAGGCTCGCTCCTGAGCTGCACTGTGTGTCTGTTGAAAAACACAGTGCGGCTTGGCCCTGCCCACACTGCCTCCTCACTGGCTGTAATTGACAGCCAATGGTTTCCACTGCTGCCTCTGAGCTAGTGAAGACAGAGCGCGTGTTTGTGTGTTTCCGGGTAGGGGGTGCACATGCGTGCGACCTACCCATGCCGCCATTCACGGACTCGGCTGTCAATCACAGGGTCCCGGCCGGTGATTACTCGCCAGCACGCAGTGAACGCTGAGTATAACAACACAGATTTCTCCCGTCTCTTCTGCCCACTGCTTTGTATATATGGCTCTGCATAGCAGAGCCATACAAAGCAGTGTGCTTACAGTGAAGCACACAATGCCTGCCGCAGTCCCACTATAAGTCATTGATTGCCACCATTACTAGTTAAAAAAAAAAACAATTACAGTATATATACCTCCATTTGTAAACGCTATAACTTTCACGTAAACCAATTAATTTACAAATATTGGGATTTTTTTCCTTAGCAAAGACATGGAGCAGAATACATTCTGGCCTACATTTATGACTAAATTTAAATTTTTTTAAATTTTTTTACTGGACATGATTGATAAAAAAATAATTTTCTTTTTTTTCTCAAAATTCTCAGTCTTTTTTTGTTTATAGTGCAAAAAATAAAAAAACGCACAGGCTATCAAATACCAACAAAAGAAAGCTCTATTTGTGGGGAAAACACTATTTTAAATTTAATTTGGGTGCAGCGTTTCATGACTGCACAATTGTCAGTTAAAGTAACTCAGGGCGGTATCGCAAAAAATGGCCTGGTCAGGAAAGGGGGTGAATCCTCAGGAGTAAAAGCGGGTTAAAGTCTTTTTATAATCATTTTTAGATTTATGTATATGAAACAGATCTTTCAATAAATTTATGAATATAATAACCTCTACTCACTGCTGAAAGTAGACAGCAAATAGGTTACACTGTAAAGCTGCCCTGGCTGTGGTAGGTTTTCCTACGTATGAAAAATCTGATTGGTACATTCGATAATGCCTATAATATTGCTTTTAATATTTGATTTTGGAAGTTCCTGAACAAAAACCACATACACTCTCTTAGAAACTTGTTCCTTCGAGAACAATTTTCCATCCTGCTTCTTTTTCGTTACTATGATCAAAAACGAGCATTGATTTGACACCATTAATAATTAGAAAATTTAAATTTTGTAACAAAATCCTACTAGTGTGTGGCCAGCTTTACTATGTTTCTTTTGGCTTGATGGCCAAAATATTCCTTACATGTGTTCTAACTTTGACATGGGTTAACCTTTTCTATATGAGGAGGCAAAAGAATTGTGTATTTCTGTCACAAATTACCATTTTTAAAGTGCCCAAGCTATTTAGAAATCGCTGGAATCCTTATTGCAATACACTCTTGCATATTATGCGTGAGAAAATGCCCCACCTGAAAGTGAACCTGTGCCAAGATCATGCACACTAAAGAATATACATTTTCTGAACAAGCAGTAAAATCCTCTTGACCCTCATCCATCTCTGTATCTATCAATCTGTAAGCATTGTGAAGAAAATTAAAGTTCCTTATCTAACAGTCTGGATCTCTCGCCAGCGATGGCATCTTCTACCTAAGTGCCGATTGTCTGACATCTCCGTTGGCCAGTGCGGAATGACGTTACTCTTGCGCATGCGTCAGTCATTCCAGCACACAGGGATCCATGCCAGCGATGTAAGCTGTGGGACACATGTGCAGCTCCGTTTACTTTTCGCAGAAGATCATGAGCAGGAAGGTTGGTGTATTTTATCACAGAAGAGACCTTTTATGTCTGTCCTGTGATAATACCCTGCCTGTTTGCAGTCTGTTCCCAATAAGCCTTTGGTTTCATTTATATCCCACATACCCCTATCCCCTCCCACATTTCCTCCAGTTCCGAGTCTTCTCTCTTCTCAACTTTACATAAGGCGAGAATCATTCTTTGGGTGTCCACGTGGCTTGCTTTTGGCTGTCCAGTGGCAGGGTTCTCTCAGTATTCAGAAGAAGAGTGATGTCCGAACAAGGGGAGGGGCAAGTGTGGGGACATCTGCAGCGCAGAATTAGTAGTCCCCCACACTGGGAAACTGCGCTGGCAAAGGACCTGGATGGAACACTCAAGTAGGTTTTTATCTTGCATTATGTAAGAAGAATAAGGCAGGATGGGTTAAAGGAGGATGGGCGGGGGGTTCATATTTTACCCAGAGATGGGCTTTAATTTTAAAATTCATGACTGCTTACAGGGATGTTGAATTCCTGCCACCCAGGACATGCAGTTCCGGGCACCAGGCAAGACTTCTTCCCTTTTTTTTTTTTTTTTTTTTTTTTTTTTTTTTTTTTTTTTTTTTTTTTTTTTTTTTACATTTAGCCCTGCTGCGGTCAAGCAGTAGGGTTTAGAACTGCCCTTCATGGGCTGTCCCCATCAACTAGCCGGCACTTCTGCTGGCTGATAATAGAGGTGGCAGTGACTGAACCCACTGCAGAGCATGCCAGGGACAGATCAGTACCTCCTCCACCAGCTGATATTAGGCGGCTCCCCAGTGTCCTACTCACTACTTCTTCTACTTCTTCCTCCTTCCTTCCTCTTCCTTCTTCCTCCTCCTCTTCTTCTTCCTCCTCTTCTTCCTCAAAATCCTCATAGTTGTGACCTACAATCAGCAGCTCCCATGTTCTGCATTTTAACCACTTCCTGACCGGCCGTTGCATATAAACGGCCGGACGGTGGCAGTGCAGAGTCGGGTGGCCGTTTATAAACGGCCTCCCCGCACCCTGCTTGTGCGCGCTCCCTCGGAGCGCGCAGTACCACGATCCGGTGCCCGCTGTGTCCTCCGGGCACAGTGAAACACCGATCGTCGGACGGGACCTCTGTACGAGGTCCCGATCATGTGATCACTGATTGGCCAATCACTGATCACATGCAAAGTAGTAAGCAAGATGTCACTTGTGACATCATTGCTTACTACGTGTGAAATCTGTGAATGATCACAGAGGTCACATGGTACAAGGCTATTCCCAGCAGCCTTGTACCATGTGACAAGCTGTGACCAATCACAGCTCACTCAGTACTTCTCAATGAATGCAAGAATGCACACAGAGAGAGAGAGAGAAATGATTGCTTTTACATCTTATATGGGTGTAAAAGCAATCGGTGTAAAAAAAAAATAAAAAATCTTCATCACCCCCCCCCCCACAAGTAGTACAGTGTCACCATGGTGACACTGTACTGCTAGGGTGACAGTATGTAAAAAAAAATAATAATTTAAAAAAATAAAAATGTAAAAAAAATGTTTTCAAAAATTATAATTTTTGGTTATAAACTAATTTGGATTTTTTTTTTTTTACTAAAAAGATAACGGAATAAATTTTGGCCAAGATTTATGATGAAATATTATTTATTTGCAAAATTGTATAAAAAAACACTTTTTAAAAATTTTTGGACTTTATCATTTACATAGCAAAAAAAATTAAAATCCCAGCAGTGAATAAATACCACCAAAATAAAGCTTTATCTGTCTCAAAAAAATGGTAAAAAATTCATTTGGGTACAGTGTTGCATGACCGCGCAATTGTCATTCAAAGTGTGATAGCGCTGAAAGCTGAAAATTGCCCTGGTCAAGAAGGGGGTAAAAGTGTCCGGTCTGGAAGTGGTTAAATGCAGATAGGGTTTAGAAAAGTAATTTAACTGGTTTGTGGCCCATGAGATGTATATGAATGTTGCTGCCTGATGAATTATTGACCTGGGAAGTGAGGTAGTCGTTGATGTCTGAAAAGTTTGCCCTGCACGCTTGTTCCAGGTGTATCACTTACTAAGGAGTGAAGCCTGGTTAAGAGTGATGGCTCTGAAGCCTGTACCTGTTCCAATAATTCAGGAATAGCACCCCTCATTTTTCTATGCTCACAGGTCTCTTTTAAGGTATTTGGAACACTAGGTGTCAGGTGAAAGGCAAGAATGTGTATGACAAGTTTTTAAGCTGGCATAATGTATTTTTTCATTGTGACTATTTTACCTTCACAGATGGCGATGTCAGTGAATTGGCACGCACCAAACAGTACATGAGCGAGGCTTTTCAGTCTGGAGCTGTGACTTGCTTGATATGCATTGCTTCAGTGAAGAGAAACCAAGCTGTAAGTGCCATGTTATTGTACATACCTATACAAATTGCTGCAAAGGAAAAATGATATTGCCTGTGGCATCCATTTAAATGTTAGCCTCACCTAACAGAAGATGACAGTTGTTTTGGTTATTATGGGCAGTACCGTGTGTGTGTGTGTGTGTGTGTGTGTGTGTGTGTGTGTGTGTGTGTGTGATTATGACATAGTATAGGGATCTAACTTATTTTCTGGTAAATTTGAATAGATTTGTACTTGTATATGACACAACACTCAGGTTAAATTGCCTGAATTTTTAGGTACATTTTCTTTTGTCTCAGTTTAAAATCTTCTTAGTCCCTGGTCACTCGGGTGTGAATTGTCATGCAATCTGATCGATTCAGATTGTATGACAAGTCGCACCCTATTGTCCGCAATGGAATCGGTCTGACTCCGGATTTGCACCATTTTGAAAGTTGTTCATGCACTACTTTTTGCAAGTTCAGGTGCGACATGCATAGACCTCTGTGCATGAAGTCACATGGATGTCTTCCAAGTCGCATCCTTCTTTGAAATTGTGACCGTGGCCTTACTGCCAAAGTGTAACTGCACCTTTCAATTAGATTTAAAGTCTGTAAAATAAATATATGTATAATATATATTTACTCCTGAAGACTTTTATCAAATTTCAATACAGCTTCTCTGTTGAAACTGACACCTAACTAAAAGCGTCTGCTACAATGCTCAAAAAAATTAAAGGAACACTTTTTAATCAGAGTATAGCATCAAGTCCATTAAACTCCTGGGATATTAATCTGGCCAGTTAAGTAGCAGAGGGCGTTGTTAATCAGTTTTAGCTGCTTTGGTGTTAATGAAATTAACAGGTGCACTAGATGGGCAACAGTGAGACTACCCCCAAAAGAGGAATGGTTTTACAAGTGGAGGCTACTGACATTTTTTTCCCTACTCATCTTTTTCGACTGTTTTTCACTAGTTTTGCATTTGGTTAGGGTCAGTGTCACTGAGGCGATTCCTGGACCCTACAGAGGTTGCACAGGCAATCCAACTCTTCCAGGATGGCACATCAATACATGCCATTGCCAGAAGGTTTGCTGTGTCTCCCATCACAGTCTCAAGAGCATGGAGGAGATTCCAGTAGACAGGCAGTTACTCTAGGACAGCTAGACAGGGCCGTAGAAGATCCTTAACTCCTCAGCAGGACCGGTATCTGCTCCTTTGTGCAAGGAGGAACAGAATGAGCACTGCCAGAGCCCTGCAAAATGACCTCCAGTAGGCCACTGTTGTGAATGTCTCTGACCAGACAATCAGAAACAGACTTCATGAGGGTAGCCTGAGGGCTCAACATCGTCCAGTAGGCCCTGTGCTCAATGCCTGGCACCATAGAGCTTGATTTGCCTTTTGAACACCAGAATTGTCAGGTCCCCCACTGGTGCCCTGTACTTTTCACAGATGTGAACAGGTTCACCCTGAGCACGTGACAGATATGATAGGGTGTGGAAAAGCCGTGGAGAATGTTATGCTGCCTGTAACACCTTTCAGCATGACCGTTTTGGTGGTGGGTCAGTGATGGTCTGGGGAGGCATATCCATGGAGGAACGCACAAACCTCTACAGGCTAGACAATGGCACCCTGACTGCCATTAGGTATCGGGATGAAATCCTTGGACCCCATTGTCAGACCCTACTCTGGCGCACTGGTCCTGGGTTCCTCCTGGTGCACGACAATGCCTGGCCTCGTGGTGAGAGTAAGCAGGCAGTTCCTGGAGGATGAAGGAATTGATACCTTTGAATGGCCCCCACGCTCGCCTGACCTTAAATCCAATAGAACACCTCTGGGAAATCATGTTTTGGTCCATCCGACACCGCCAGGTTGCACCTCAGACAGTCCAGGAGCTCAGTGATGCCCTGGCCCAGATCTGGGAGAAATATGGGGCAGCACAGTGGCTAAATGGTTAGCACTTCTGCCTGGCAGTACTAGGGTTGTTGGTTCGAATCCCAACCAAGGTACCACCTGCCTGGAGTTTGCATGTTCTCCCTGTGCCTGCGTGGGTTTCCTCCGGGTACTCCGGTTTCCTCCTACACTCCAAAGACATGCTGGTAGGTTAATTGGATCCTGTCATACAAACTACTAAGTACCATCTTGAGTTGCTGCAATGAAATTTCAGCAAAATGGACTAGCCTGCTGCATCATTTTTCACTTTGATTTTCAGGGTGTCTTTGAATATTCAGTCCTCTGTAGGTTGATAATTTTCATTTCCATCAAACGATGGGGCATACTTGCGCTCCTAACACCTTACCCAGTCCATATCAGTAAAGATATCCAGCATGATTTTTTTTCCCCATTGAGATCTGATGTGTTTTCAAAGTGTTCCTTTAATTTTTTGGGCAGTGTATAAAAGTACTTGATCAGTTCAAATTTTTTTTATTTTTTTTAGTAAGGGGCATGTCACACTTCTCACCATCATCCTCACTGCCAACAGCATTACTACACACCTGATTCCACAATGCTACTCTTTCACTGACAAAGTGTCACTGTGTCATTGGCAAGGGATATTTTGTAGTAATTCCATCCTGAAGGAATCGATGCCTCGTTCATACGGCCACCAAGCAACACCATGAAAGTAGGTGAGTATTATTTGCCTTTTCTAGTGATTCTCACTGGTGAATTGTAGCCAGCAACAATATCGCAATTGTGCCATGGCCCAAGAGTAAAACTGGACAAAGCAAGTTAGTCAGTCACCTGACACCTGATACACAGAATTTAGAGTGCCTTTATTGATGCTATACTTACTGTGAAGTGATATTTAAATTTTTTTTTGTTGGATACATTTTAAAGAATATTAGGTTGAAATAGGTATTTTTCAAAAGCAATCATTTACAGGCATACCTCCGTTTACAAATTGAATTTGTTCTGCGGGACTTTTCATATAGCGAAAAATTTGTAAACCGAAACACTGTTTCCCATAGGAATGCATTGAAAACCAATTAATCCGTTCCTGATGTCATTAAAAAGTAAACGCTACTAAAATACCGCATGAGTTTTTTTTTATCAAGTCATGCGGCATTTTTGTAGTGACAACCATGTGTTAAATGTTTCAGCTGCCAGCGGGGTTCCCCACTGACAGCTGAATGTAAAAGAATTGCCGGCAATTAAAAAAAATCAATAAACTGTGTGGGGTCCCCCCTCCCATCCATACCAAGCCCTTTGGGGTTGATGGGGTTGATTTAATAAAAGTGCAAAATCTGGTGCAGTTCTGTATAGAAACCAATCGGTTTCCAGTTTTTCTTTTCTTTTTTTGCCAAGGCTTAAAGCGGAGCTCCACCCAAAAAGGGAAGTTCCGCTTTAAGCCTTTGTCCCCTGCTCCCCATTATGGATTTGCACCTTTGGGGAGCGGTTATCTGAATTTGACAGGTACCTGCTCCCACTTCCGCTGCAATTGCCAAGGCGAAATGTGACAGGTTCCAGAGGACTACGGGGCCATTCACAAAGCGCAGCGCTTCTCGTGCATGTGCAGTGGGCACCCAGCTGTGAAACTGCAAGCTGTCACAGCTGGGTGCCCACACCGAAGATGCCGGCACCAGGGAGAGAAGATGGCCGGTGAAACCAGCGGTGGTGAAGACACCGCTGGACCGGTAAGTGTCTGTATTTTAAAAGTCAGCAGCTACAGTTTTTGTAGCTGCTGACTTTTATTTTTTTTAGGTGGAACTCCGCTTTAATTGAACAAGCTGAAGTTAGAAGCTGACTGGCTACCATGCACAACTGCACCAGATTTTGCACTTTCCAGTTTTTGATCAACGTGTGTGTGTGTGTGTGTGTGTGTGTGTGTGTGTGTGTGTTCGTGTGTGTGTTCGTGTGTGTGTTCGTGTGTGTGTGTGTGTGTGTTCGTGTGTGTGTGTTCGTGTGTGTGTGTGTGTGTGTGTGTTCGTGTGTGTGTGTGTGTGTTCGTGTGTTCAGCTTAACTTCACTTTTTTTGTGGGTTGTTGTTTTGTTTTTTTTTTTTCCTTTTTCAGAGATTATATTTGCAGATTGTTTCTTAGCATTTTGTGCATTAATACTCCATGGACCATGAAGAATAGTGTAGATCTCCGCAAGCTTGTCCTGAAATTGTAACTGTTAGTACAAACAAAAGAAGTATTCTGGACAGTACTTAAAGTGGAACTTTACCCTTAACAATGTATTAAAAAAATGTTCATTTCACATTAATAATTATGCCAAAAAATTGTCTCCAGCATTTCTTCTTGCTTGAGGCTGCCATTTTGCTGAAGCCCAGAGAAACTGATCTGTAGTAAATCTTTAGGCTGTCAACAGATCGGCCTTTACAAATTTGGCACAGTGCCAAAGAATAGAGAGCAACTGAGCATGTGCAGAGCACGGTGAGACAGTGTATTACTGGATTTTAAACAGTATAGGCATTTATTTTTAATGTTTTACATAAATATACTTGCAAAAGGGGCCAGCCTGAAGTGATCTAGCAGGACTTAATTTTCTGAGTGAAGTTCCACTTTAAACACTGATCTATAACCTTTTTGATTTCAGTCTTGCTCTGCAGATGTGTTTGAATAAATAACATCATTTAGTGGTACCTTTTATAAATAATCCAGACCTTCGCAGAGAGCAGAGTAGTGGTTTGTTAGTATGTTTTGTTTATTATTGATCTGTCATCCTTTACTGATGTATTTAATGGAACAGTGCGTCCATGTAAGATCAGGAGCTCTAATTATGAATGGCTCACTTGTAGGTTTGGAGCTGCTGTGCCTGTTATTGCATATTTCACATGCCGTGCATCCAGAAGTGGGCCAAGGACAGCATATTCCTTGTGTCTTCTCCACTCACAGATGATGACTTTGAAAAGAAAGATTACCCTTGGCCGTGGTATGTAAAAGTACAGAAATTGGATCATTTGTTTAATGTATGGATTGACTGATTTGAGATCGATCTATCTCATGCACTGTATTTCTTAACTGTATTTTTTAAGTCAGGTCTGTCATCCAGCTGATCAGTGAATTTAAAAAAAAAAAAAAAATCAAAAGGATCAATAAACATATACCTTTTTTTTAATTTTACCTCCTAGACACTTGGCATATATGAATAAAAAGTTAAGTCCCTTTTCTAAGTAATTTGACATATTTATATACATATTTGTATTTCATATACAAATTCTATGGTGATTTTGTTGTGATTGTTGCTTTTTGTGGTTGTTATTATTATTGCACCATTCTCTACCTTGGGGCTCTACAAAGTAGTAGTTCCAGTGCCTTGAAAAAGTATTCATACCCTTTGAAATTTTCCACATTTTGTCATGTTACAACCAAAAACATAAATGTATTTTATTGGGATTTTATGTGATAGATCAACACAAAGTGGCACTTATTCGTGAAGTGGAAGGAAAATGATAAATGGTTTTCAACATTTTTTACAAATATGTTAAAAGTGTGGCGTGCATTTGTGTTCAGCCCCCCTGAGTCAATACTTTGTAGAACCACCTTTTCTTTTGATGCAATTACAGCTGCAAATCTTTTTGGGTATGTCTTTACCAGCTTTGCACATCTAGAGTGAATTTTTTCCCCATTCTTCTTTGAGAAATGGCTTAAATTGTCAGATTGGATGCAGAGCGTCTGTAAACAGCTATTTTCAAGTCTTTCCACAGATTCTCAATTGGATTTAGGTCTACACTTTGACTGGGCCATTCTAACACATGAATATGCTTTGATCTAAACCATTCCATTGTAGCTCTGGCTGTATGTTTAGGGTCGTTGTCCTGCTGGAAGGTGAACCTCCGCCCCAGTCTCAAGTCTTCTGCAGACTCTAACAGGTTTTCTTCTAAGATTGCTCTGTATTTGGCTCCATCCATCTTCCCATCAACTCTGACCAGCTTCCCTGTCCCTGCTGATGAAAAGCATCCCCACAACATGATGCTTCACGGTGGGGATGGTGTGTTCAGGGTGATGTGCAGTGTTTCCGCCACACATAGCATTATTGCTTTTAGGCCAAAAAGTAAAATTTTGGTTTCACCTTCTTCCACAGCTGTATTTATACTGAGATTAAATTACACACAGGTGGACTCTATTTACTAATTAGGTGACTTCTGAAGGCAGTTGGTTCCACTAGATTTTAGGGGTATCTGAGTAAAGGGGGCTGAACACAAATGCACGTCACACTTTTCAGATATTTATATGTAAAAAATGTTGAAAATCATTTTCCTTCCACTTTGTGTTGGTCTATCACATAAAATCCCAATAAAATACATTTACGTTTTTGGTTGTAAAATGACAAAATGAGGAAAATTTTCAAGGCACTGTATAACAAAGAAGGATAACAAAGGGAATACAGTACTTTAAAGGTGCTTACCAATACCTAGAGATATAAGAAAACTGCGTCTAGCCCATACAAGCCTAATAAATAAAGCACTAATAAGACATACGTTGTTGGAACAAGAAATAAGGGAAACTAAGTTGTTTATGCAGTAATAGTATGGATATTAAGTATTTTGGTTGTTTTCTTATAAAATGTTATTTACAACATTAAGGACTGCCCTATAGCAGATATGCCGCTACAGGGTGGCACCTGTGCGCAAAATCACACGTGTGTGTATATATGTGACTTTGCATTTCTGGGTAGGAGGCACGCAAAACCATTCGTGGTCGCGGATGTCAATCACTGGGTCCCGGCCGGTAATTACCCGCCGGCACCCAGTGATTACCGAGCATCTCTGACTGGGAGGAAGATTGTTTTGTTTACAAGCAATCTTCCTCCCTGTCAGCTCGAGCACACTATCCCGATCAGTGTGCTTACAGTGAAGAACACACACACCACCCCCTAGTAAAACACTCCCTGCACACAGTCAACCCTTTTGATTGCCCCTCACATTAACCCCTTCCTGCCCAGTGCCATTAGTACAGTGTCATTATTATTTTTTTTTTTTTTTTAAACTGATCACTGTATTGGTGTCACTGGAGATGTCAGTGACACAAGTTAGTTCCCAGTAGTGTCAGAATGTCTGCTGCAGTCCCGCTAAAAGTCGATTATATCCGCCATTACTAGTAGAAAAAATAAAACCCATTATCTGTAATTGCTATATCTTTCATATAAGCTAAATAATTTATACGTATTGGGATTTTTTTCAGCAAAGACATGTCGCAGAATAAATTTTGGCCTAAAATTTATAACAAAATTTTTTTTATTTTTTTAAATTTTTAAATTTTTTTTTTTTACTGGACATGTTCAACCATTTGCCGCCCGCCCTATGGCTGAATGGCGGCTGGCAAATGTCATCAGCGTTCCTTGTGGACGCCATATGGCATCCCCCCGCGCAGATTGCGCTCCTGCAGAGTCGCGCAGCGGCGTGATCTGTCACCGGCCGTGTACCTCGGACACGGCCGATGACAGATCTGAGTATCGGCCCCCGTTGCCGGTACCATGTGACCTGCTGTGACCAATCACAGCAGGTCACATGACCGTTGTATACAATGGATGGCTTCATTCATGCCATCCATTGTATACTAGTGTCTAGCTGTGAATGGTCACAGCTAATCACATGCACATGTCATGTGATTAGCTGTGGCCAAATCACAGCTAAGCACCAAAAAAAAAAACCCTGAATGAATCTGTTAAATGCTTGCTTATAGCAAAGTAATTCTTTGCTATAAGCAAATTGTGTAAAAAAAAAAAAAAAAAAAAAAAAAAAAAATACTGATCACTTCCCCAAAGTAGTACAATGTTACTATAGTAACATTGTACTACTTTGGTCATAGTGGAATATGAAGAAAAATTCTTAAAAAAAAAAAAAAAATTTAATAGAGAAAAAAAAAAAAAAAAAAAAAAATATATATATATATATATATATATATATATATATATATATATATATATATATATATATATAATTTATATCTTTTTTTTTTTTTTTTTTTTTTTTTTTTTTCATACTGTCACCAGTCAGTGTCCCTGATCACCGCCATGCCAGTTATATGATGACGCTGTACTGCACTGGTGACAATATGTAAAAAAAAAATAGTGGAACTAATTTTTTTTTCATTTTCCGAAAAATTATGACAAAAAAAATACAACTTCAAAAGACTCGCCATGCCTCTTATGAAGTACGTCGGACTGTCTACTTTGCAAAAAGGGGTAATTTGGGGGATATCTGTACTGTTCTGACATTCTTGGACCTCAAGAAATTAGATTTGCTGTCAGTACTTCAGGATTGATCAATATTCAGATATATACCACAGTTTGTGAACTCTATAACTACAAAATAAAAAATACATCCTAATTTGGGTTATTTTCACCAAAGACATGTAGCAGAATACATCTTGGCCTAAATTTATGAAGAACAATTATTTATTTGCAAACTTTTATAACAGAAACAAAGAAAAACGTGTTTTTTTTTTTTTTTTTTCAAAATTTTTGGTCTTTTTTTTGTTAATTTAGCAAAAAATAAAAACCCCAGCGATGATTAAATACCACCAAAAGAAAGCTCTAGTTGTGTGAAGAAAATGATAAAATTTTAGTTTGGGTACAGTGTTGTATGACCGTGCAATTGTCATTCAAAGTGTGAGAGCGCTGAAAAAACTGGCCTGGGCAGGAAGGTGTAAAATTGCCCGGTATTGAATTGGTTAATAGCAAAAAGTCAAAAATATTGTTTGTTTTTTTTTCTCAAAATTGTTGGTTTTTTTTTTTTTTTTTAAGCTTATAGCGCAAAAAATAAAAAACTGCATAGGCAATCCAATACCACCAAAAGAAAAGCTCAATTGGTGGGGGAAAAAAAGGATGTAAATTTAATTTGGGTGCAGCGTTGCATGACTGTGCAATTGTCAGTTAATATAATGCATCGCCGTAACGTAAAAAATGGCCTGGTCAAGAAGGGGGGTAAATCCTCAGGAGGACAAGGGGTTAAACTAAATCTGTATTGACAAAAAAAAATGCAGGCTGTCATTACTATTTACCTTCTGAAAATTCTAGATTCCCAGCTATTGCTGGCTTTAGTACGCTCTAAGACTTGCACTTGGAACAAGCATGGAGCGAATGAAATCAAAACTCCAGATTTACAAGTCAGGGGTTCTCAAAGTACTCTGGGTTTTAACACAATTCGGTGGGGAGCTGGACGCTGGTGAACATAATTTTGGTTTTGCCTTTTCATCTTTGTGCTACACCACAAGTAAAAAGATATTTGTATAACAACATAAATGTTTCTGGTTACATTTCCAAAAATTGGATGGCAAAGTGACTTCTTAACTGGGAGATAAGAATTGCAGAGCACTAACCTCAGTGACTTGACATCTGGTTTCATTCTAAAGGGACAATTCACTGGTTTTAACTTCAGAGAAAGCTTGCACATTACTAATATTCACTAGTAGTTAACTGATGAACCCAGCAGTCATTGCTGTTTGCTGAATGAATCTTGGATGCTGCAGATAACTGTCCACACTTTTGAATGTATTGTGGATGCAGTCAGAGACTGTGCCTGAGACTGCTAAGATCAGAACTGCACACATTGCCTAATGCACATTTAGGTAAAACTTGATGTCTGCTTTTGTAACACTGCTTGTTTTTGGCTTTCAGCCCGAAGTGTCGATATGAATACAAACGATCCCAGACTCCTGCAAGATATTACTGCTATTGTGGTAAAGTAGAAGACCCACCACTGGACCCATGGCTTGTACCTCATTCTTGCGGCCAAGTTTGTGAAAGAGAATTTAAACCATCATGTGGTCACAAATGTTTGCTCTTGTGCCATCCAGGTAATGAGTTAAATTTATCATATAGCAATGTGGCTGGCTATGAAAGCTTGCTACAGTGCAGAATAAATAAGTCTCCTGAGCAATTTCATATATTAACTGCTAGTATAGTGACTATTTTGGAAGTGTTTAGCCTTGGTTGTTTGTAGAAATGCTGTGTGATTCTGAATCTCATTCCAAAGCCTACAGAGTTCCTTGTCAGGAGCAGCCACCATATGATTTTCTAAGCAAGTCATACCTCACTATGTCGGGTACGATTTTAAACTTTCTGATCCTGGGAATATAGTGCTGTCAAATGTAATAAGTCACTTACACTTTTGTGGCGGGATGCTGCTGGGGTTTCAGGTCATTGAGTTATTTCAGAATGCCATTAAACCTGCCCTTGCCTCTACATCTATGAATAGGCTACAGCAACTGCAGCTGTCTGATTCCAGCATATTTGAGTTTGGATGTAACCCAAGAGTTAGTGTCTTTTGGCATTACATATATTCACAGTTTTAGAGCATTTGAAATAGTTTCCTTTGTAGGAGTTACTTGGGGGGGGGGGAGGAGCATTCCGATGTGTGGCTGACTTAGTAAATAGATGAGTTTCCTGCAGTACACAGTCAGAGCTCCACATTTTTCACTGCCTCTGTTGTAGCACGCCTGTATCCTGGGAAACTGGCTGACATGCCCCTTGATCTTCATGACTAGTCACTTTCAATCCAAGCTTATTAAATGTCTCCTTGAAAGCAACAACAATGAGGGTAGAAGGGGTGTCCAGTCGACCTTGCTAGCTTAGCCTTCAGACCACCTAGAGAAAAAGTGCTTCATGCACTTTGTACCCTGGCGGACAGGATGGGCTAAAGCTTTTTTCAAAAATGTTTTTAGCTTTAAATGACCTTATCAACACACACAGCCTGTCATTTTACATCTGTATTCGTTATAATATGGGTAGGTATAAATGTTCATGAAACCACAGGAAACCCATTTTTATGTATTTCTTTATTTTTTACATATTTTATTAAAGTTCTTCCACAAAACAGAACATTATACAAAAAATGAAAATCACACATACAGCATTGGATGGTCGATCTGTCCTTACAATTCGTAGCCAACATGGAAACATGATATCAGTGTCAACCAATTTAAACAAATAACATAGAATAGTAAACCATATATCTATAAATGTTGCGCTCCTATTATCCAACTATATAAAGTGTGTGAAATATACTATTATATATACAAACTGACAAAAAATGTTCAATATATCAAAGTGATCATAATAAAAAACAAAAATAAATCCGTTTATCCAAAAAAAGTCCAAATTTGTGATAAAGTAATTAAAACATAATACAGTGACTTTCTGTGAAACCTTCAGTGAAATTAAATGTGTGCTCACCTCCTTCTAAACCTATTATACAGGCTTAATAAACTTTTGGTTCACATATCCTGGAACCCACTAGAATTGCTGCAGTATATGATGGATGTTGGGAACTTCTTGCAAACACCTTTCCCCTTTAAACTCTGTATATCCCTGCAGGGATTTCTCCCTCCTTCAGCAAGTTGGTGAGTTTGGGAGCAATTACAAAATACAGGTGTGTGTAACTTGCAAGCCAAACAAAAAAACCTTAGAGATCACTAACAATTAACACATACTCCAACTGTGCAATTTAAACCATATATCTATAAATGTTGCGCTCCTATTATCCAACTATATAAAGTGTGTGAAATATACTATTATATATACAAACTGACAAAAAATGTTCAATATATCAATAGTGATCATAATAAAAAACAAAAAAATAAATCCATTATCCAAAAAAAGTCCAAATTTGTGATAAAGTGATTAAAACATAATACAGTGACTTTCCGTGAATCCTTCAGTGAAAATAGATGTGCGCTCACCTCCTTCTAAGCCTATTATACAGGCTTAATAAGCTTTTGGTTCACATATCCTGGAACCTACTAGGATTGCTGCAGTATATGATGGATGTTGGGTACTTCTTGCAAACACCTTTCCCCTTTAAACGCTGTATATCTCTGCAAGGATTTCTCCCTCCTTCAGCTGCTTTGAATCACTAGCACAATCCTCCTTATACGTTCCTCAGTGTGAAAGGAGACAATAGGAACATAGTGCTTTATCCTTAAAACAGACTTTATTTTATTCCACAAATCTTAATCAATGCACTCACATTGTTAAAATAAAAAAAACGCTTTGTTATAAATACCTGTATCAGCCGTTGGCATATGTACTTGCCGCTTGTTCTCTCTGAAACCGAGTGACTTCATAGCCCCACCCCTACGCGTTACGCCATAGAACACATGGCTTCATCAGGCAGTTATGATTGGATAGTCACTACACACAGACTCCTTTAGAATAGTAAACTGCCATATGTTAGGCAACATTCCATTAACTTGATACAGATCTCTTAGGGCTTAGCTGAGGGAAGAACCAGGTTTCATATTTTTTTTTTTTTTTGTGAGTGTACAGACCATCCTGCTGGCATGGCTTTTATCTTCTCTATAACAGGGTCCATCTTGGTCGACTATTCCAAGTAAAAAGGGGAAAGGGAGAGGAAAAAAGAAAAAAAAAAAAAGAGGGGAAGGGATCCCAAAGCTTTCCTAAGTCCACCCTGCCCACAGGCATCCCAATTACTGGCACTGGACATGCACACTATAAGTGTATATATATATATATATTTTTTTTTTTTCTTGGTTCTAGTCAAAAATATATTGTTCAAAGCAGCTGTCTGTTAATAATTGCTTTTTAGTTCAATACCTTTTACCATAACGTACGTTAAAATGGAGGAAACGTTTACATCTGACATTTCTAATATCATAGGTATATGTAATAAGGACTGCAGTTATACTTTTTGCTCAAGCTGAAGTATTAATGGTAAATGTTTTTCTTTTTTCCATGATAAATGTACACTTTTATCTAAACATTCATACCTACTTAAAAACAAAAGTGTTACCAGGGCAGTAAGATAGCCTCACCTGCTAACACTTTCTAAATTCAGCTCTTTAGTGTTTTTTCTTTTTAAATAAATTAAATGCAGTAAGAGGGTTGCACCTTTTGAGTTTACTTACTGACGGGCAAAGGATTTACTGCATTGTTCATTTCCCCATTCTCTCCTCACTGTCTTGTTAAATATTAATATTATGTAGGATTTCTGTAGCAACAACATTTTGGTTTACAAAATGAAGGGCGACAACACCGTTACAGTATATTAGGGTTAGGAGGGTCTTGCTCATTCAATACAGGCTATTAACATGAAGTGCGAGCCGTACTTGTTTTTGTATAATCCTTATTTCAGTTATTCTTAGTAAATATTCTAGACAGAAAAAGGTATCTGTGTTGTCCATAATAATCTGATTCTGCTGCCTTTTTTTTTTCTCTTATATGCACTTTAAAAAGTATATTTAGATTATTTGCTTTTGGTCAACACAGTCTACTTTCAACTGAAATTCCAGTCAAAAAACATTTATCCCATTCAGCTTTATATGCAATAAATAATAAAACTAAATTCTACTTTTTCTAGTGAAATTACCTTAAGTGTATTTCTTAGTAACCTCTCATCTCTGGACAGCAGAAAGGGAGTTAGTGTCAGTACTGTGAACATTTTACAGTGCTTTTATACTGACCTGTTTTATGTATTGGGAACAGGAAGGTGAGGTGTTCAGGGAGACTACCAGAGTGGATGGAGAGCATAGGAAGGACATTGGCAGCAAAGCAACACTCATTTACAGTTCAGTGAGACTAGAGGCTAGGAGGTGACACAAGAAGCCCCAAGGCCTTGATATGTGGTGCAATTTATGATTGTTTTGTAGGCGTGTGTGTGAGAAACCTAAATGACTGAACAATATTAAATATCTGAGGTATTAAAGTTTCCTGTATGCAGCTACACTGTGCATTTAACAGTTTAGCTTGTGTTCCACATTCAGGACCTAAATGCATTTTTGCACCTTAAACCATGTTTTATGATATTTTACATTTTTTCTTTACCCCTTGCAGCTGGAGTTATTTCACTAACCTGTAGTAACATGTTTTCTTGTCTGCCTGCATTTAGGACCTTGCCCACCTTGTCCAAAGATGGTCACCATCACTTGTTTTTGCAAGAAGGCAAAGCCTATTCCACGCAGGTGCAGTGCCAAAGATTGGTCCTGTCAGCAGTCATGTGGGAGAATGCTGTTGTGTGGGCAACACAAGTGTGAAAATCCTTGTCATAAAGGTATATTTTGATCACATGTTCATCATAATGCATACATTTTAATTATTTCTGTGTCAGTTAGCAATAGTAAGCACATCGGTCTCTTTTTCAATGCTTATGTTGCAAATGAAGTAATTTTTCTTCAATTAAAAGGTACATCTGTATCATCCCCCTTCCACCCCCCTTCCAGTCTATTATGCATAGGGTACGCAGCTTGGGTGATTTGCAGGGTCCAGTGAGCATGCTGTACCATCAACGCATCTTAGAATTGGCTCTGAGCAGGCTGGGCTCCTCTGCATTTCATTCTCATCTCACACTTCTCTTCGGCACAATAGCCATTTACCTGAACTCCATTCCTTAGGCATCTTTACCTACATCAAGTACTATCTGTTAATGGCCCTAGGACCTTCCAGGCCCTTAAGACTAATTTTTCCTCCCCAATCACATGCTGTTTCGACATCTTCAACTCCACCAAGCCTTGCGAGCCCAGGACTTGGATTTGTATCCAGTGCTTTCCTTAGCCCCCTTTCCAGATGTAATCCTGGGCACAGTTCCACAAAATTGATTTATACTCTATACAATATCCTGCTTACGCCCTATGCCACCAAACTGGCGTACCTGACTAAGACTAGATGGGAAGCGGATAAAGGTAATGGAGATGACTCGGACTTGCAGGAAATCCTAGACAACTATAAGCTGGTCTCAGACCAGCTAACCCAGCTGTAAATGTTGCATAGAGCGTATCTGACTCCAGTCCACGTATTTAGGTCTCACCTTCTTGAAGTCCATTATGCCCACTGTTCTAACATGTCAAGCACCTTCTACTAATTTTGTGGCATGCCCAGTAATACGAAGATTGTGGGTCCAGATAGTACAATTTCTACATGACCAAAGGGGCTCCACGTTAACACTTGACCCTAAACAATGTCTACTTGGTCTTCTCCCTAGCCCCAACAAATATCTGACAACATTCCTGCACGAGACGCTCTTTAGCGCAAGGAAAGTGATTTCACGCAAGTGGATGCAGGCACTCCCCCTTACATTTCAATCCTGGTTGGTGGATGTGAACTCCATTCTCCTATATAAGAAGTTGATATACCTACATAGGGGCTGTCCATCTAAATATAATAAAAATCTGGAACCAATCGACACACTCTTAATACTTTGTGTATGAACGAATGGTCTGTTGTAATCATAGAATCCCGACTAGATCACCCTGGGGTACCAATCTTCCCTAATTCGAACAGAATAAACAATTAATGGTTTATGGAAGAGCACCTCCTCTCCTACTGTTGTACTGTATGTGAATGTCTACAATGTAACATGCACTATGCATGCCAAGTACACATTTCATGTATGTTCTCACCACTCGCACCCTCTGTTTTCTATTAATTTCAGTAGTCTAAAATCTCCTTACATTGATGTACGTATATACCTAAAAGGAAGTGTGTCATGTTTGGTTTTCTTTTTGTGATTTGTCATGTTGCTGTATATGCACTTGTCCCAATAAAGACCTTATTTTTTTTTAATGTATAAAGGTACATTGGCTTAAGCTGTAATGATTATGAATTTTTTGCATTTATGTGTGAACTTGCTTATTAAAGGAGACTGTCTACCATGCCCCAGAGTCAGCAAGCAAAAATGTCTTTGTGGAAGAAAGGTTGCTGAACGACTGTGTGCAAGTCCAACCTGGCAGTGTGATGTGGTGAGTATTTATATCTGTAACATATACAATGTACTAAATTATCATTTTGGAATCTTCAACCAGCTCTCCTTCCTTGCCACTCCTGTGACCCACAGGAGAAGTATGGCCATACTTCTTTAAGCAATAGTAAACTCTGCCAAAAGAAAAATGTAAATGCGACCCTGCAGGGTAATGCCATGATTGTTCCTAAGCTGTACTTTGTCTAACATTTCTTCAGAGCAATAACAATGCCCTTCCTATTATGTGATTGATCCTTAGACACTCATAGTGCTATGAGGCCATAGGCACATATCTGTGGTGTGGGAAAGCACAGATCCAGTCCTAGTATGTGATTGATCCTTAGACACTCATAGTGCTATGAGGCCATAGGCACATATCTGTGGTGTGGGAAAGCACAGATCCAGTCATAGCAAGTCAGTAATGGGGAAAGATCAGCAGCTTATGAACTGTATGCCAGTGTGGCTCTATTGCATTGTAAAATTTTGCCAGTATAACATGCTTTAAGAAAGTGGGAGATAGAGAAGTGCTTTAACTAGCTTACTCTACAACCGCTTTTCTCAACCTTTTTTATCCCAGAGGAACCCTTGAACTAAGGCTTAGGTCTTGGTAACCTCTGTAAGATAGGTTCATCAAGGGGTCAATGGAAAAATACCTCTTACATTGGTGTTGGTAAGTAGGAAGAATGCCTTTCTTACCATGGTGGTCAGAAAGTGGCCTCCTGAGGTTGGGCCTCCTGAGGCTGGTACAAAGAGCCTTTCTCAACCTTTTTATTCCCGAGGAACCCTTGAACTAATGGGCAGATCTCAGGGAACCCCTTGTAGGTTTGGTCTATTGGGGGGGGGGGGGTCTATGGAAAATGACCCTTACAGTGGTGGTGGTCAGTGGGAAGAATGCCCATCTCCTAGTGGTGGTTAGAATGTTACTTTTGCAGTCATGCCACTTACTCTGCCAAGTTGCAGTGAACCTGGAAATCTACAGGAACCATTAGATGAGAGGTCAGTTAGCCACAGCTCAAGGAACCCCTGGCAACCTGGGGGACCCTGGTTAAGAATGGCTGCTCTAGAATGACAAATTAGGAAGGGCCTAAGCAGTGTGATGCTCATCTTTTAGTCCTGTAAGCAGTCACGTGACACACAAAATTGCAAAACTACAGTAGTAAATAAAAATAGGAGTGTCATCGTCCTGCCTTTGCTTTCATATACAGTGCTCAGCATAAATGAGTATACCCCTTTTGAAAAAGTAAGATTTTAATCAATATCTCAATGAACACAAGAACAATTTCCAAAATTAAGACAAAACTGAGTTTTATAGAACATTTGTTTAGCTCATTACATGAAAGTAAGGTTAATAATATAACTTTGATTACAAAATGTTCAGTTTTACTCAGATTAGTTGATGCAAAAATGAATACACCCTACAACAAAAACTACTACATCTAGTATTTTGTATGACCTCCATGATTTGTAAGGACAGCACCAAGTTTTCTAGGCATGGAATGAACAAGTTGGCGACATATTGCAACATCTATCTTTTTTCATTCATCAAGAATTACCCCTTTTTAGAGCCTGAATGCTGGATGGAGAGTGATGGTCTGTTTTATCTCTTCAGAATTCCCCATAGGTGCTCGATTGGGTTCAGATCAGGAGACATACTTGGCCACTGAATCGCTTTCACCCCTGTTCTTCAAAAATGCAACAGTGGCCTTAGATATATGTTTTTGGATCATTGTCATGTTGGAAAAGTGCACGATGACCAAGGACATGGAGTGATGGTAGCATCTTCTCTTTCAATATGTAGAGCAGTACATCTGTGAATTCATGATACCATCAATGACATGCAGCTCCCCGACACCAAGCAGCACTGCCACCACCATGTTTCACTGTAGACACCATGCATTTTTCTTCGTAATCCTCCTCTTTGCGACGCCATACAGTTTTGAAGCCATCAGTTCCAAAAACATTTTATCTTGGTCTCATCACTCCAGAGTACAGAGTCCCAGGTTTCTTCTTTTTTTAGCATGGGCCCTGGCAAATATCTTTCTACTTCTTTAGCTAACTGCAGTGAACATGCATGGTGATTTTCTTCAACCCTTCTCATCAGAAGACTCTCCTGTTGAGGTGTTAACTTCCGTGGACAGCCTGGAAGTCTGTGAGATGGTTTCAGTTCCATCTTTGTTAAATTTTTGTATCACTTTTGCTACAGTTTTCTGACTGATTAGTAAAGCTTTGCTGATCTTCTTGTAGCCTTCACCTTTCTAGTGTAAAGAAATTATTTTCTCTCTCAGGCCTTGTGACATTTCTCTTCCATGTGGGGCCATTGCTGACAACATGAAATGGGAAGAGGTTGTCTTTGTTATCTAACACTGTTTTTATAATCAACTGTCTGCTGGACACCGGTTTAGTGAATAATTAGACTCACCTGGAGTTGAATTCTTGTTAATAAGGATTTTGTTGTCAAAAATGTAGCTTTGCTCCTAAGACTTCCATTGGGGTATATTCATTTTTGCAACATTGTCTTGAATTAATTTAAGAGAAATACTTTGTGTGTGCGCAAATTAACAAATTGTATTTGCAGTCAATGTCCCACACTTGTGGCAGTAATTTGTAGTATAGTGTCCCATAGAAAATGTTGATTCTGAAAGGAATGTAAAGATTTTCTGACAAATCTGTTAGGGTGTACTCATTTATGCTGAGCACTGTACATATTTAAAAGTAGCTGTTCAGTTGGCGGCGTGCTTCAAAATATAACATTTGTATATAAGAAAATGTAGCTGTGAAACCAAATATTTTTAAAGAAATTTTTGCCTTTTTATTGTAGGTTTGTAGAAAAACTTTTCCTTGTGGGAATCACACCTGTGAGCAGGTTTGCCATGGTGGTGCATGTGGCCAGTGTCCTCGTTCTGGAAATCGCTTGTGTCCATGTGGAAAAACAAGTATGGCTCTTTCAGAATATTATGTTTTCTGTTATGTTTTATGTCTTAGTTTGCAGTGTTATGGTTTTATTTTAACCTGTAAGGCTAATGTAAGAAATATATGAAACAGATAACTGGTGAAATCTGATTGCTACTGTGTATTGCATGTTGTCATTGCTCTTTGCTCCATCTTATTAAAAGATAAGCTCCTATGAGTCAGTACAATATTAGCAAGATATAGGACATTAAGTGTACCGTGCCAGTAATGTCAGCTTTTTCAGAAAACCAATAAATAACAGATGTCACTGGTCTTCTTATACATCACATTTGTTTTGTTTGCTCAGAGTACACCTTGCCTTGTACTGAAGATGTGCCCACTTGCGGTGATAGCTGTGATAAGGTTTTGGAGTGTGGACTACACAAGTGCTCCCAACGCTGTCACAGAGGTCCATGTGAAACATGCAGGCAGGTCAGTGTTCACCTAATGGTCATTAATCATACGAACATGCCAAGCTGTATAACATTTAAGGAGGCTCAGAATTCTGTGTCTTTGTGCAATCCCTAGTGTAAATTAACAGATTGGATTTCACCAAATACCTCATCTGTAAACTACAAGACTACGTATGGATTAGAGATGCTGTTTCTAGTTTATTCAGGCATCTGTTTTTCTAGTTTCCCCCTTCTGAATGTTCAAGTTCATGTGTAGCCAAATCTGTTTAAGCTGAACAACAGGCATGGCTGAGTACACAGATTAATACATATAAATAAGCTGTTTTACCTGTCAAAGGATTTATATTTGTCAATTCAATTCTAAGATTTAAAGGCTAAGTGCACCATTAAAATAAATAAATAAATGCACACCGTTTTGCAGGTAAAAATAAATATGCTTTTATTCTTATTTTATTTCTCAAGAGCCTGCTGAGCATTGCATCCATGTTCAACAGATCACGAGTGCAATGTCAGGCTCCTGCAGCTTTCTGCCTATCTTGTATACGGACTTTGTTTGAAAGCTGTAGAAAGTTTCAGTGAACTATGAGAATGCTCACCAGTGCCCTTTCAGTTCACTGAGAACTACAAGCTGTCTGCTGCAATGGTAGACTGAATTTGTAGTTTTTATTAATTTTACTGATTCCTGTGACTAAATGATGGAAAAGAGGGGGGGCGGAGGATTGAAGCTGAAGGTGCAACACCATAAATACAAGTAGGATGTGCAACATGTTACAAAAGGTGAACTTGGCCTTTAACCACTTGCCGACCGCAGATAGCCGAATGACGGCTTCACTGCGGCCGGCCAGTTCTGGGAGGATGTCCTATGACGCCCTCCCCGCATGCCCCCGTGAGTGCGCACCTTGCGATCTCTGTGTCCTATGTCCTTCTGCTTGGCAGCAGAACTGATTGTTTTTCTGTAGTAGCAGAAACTTAACCCTCCCCTGACCTGTGACTAGCGGCAAACTATTCTCTTTTCTTATTAACATTTGAGGTAAATTTTTTTGCCCCAGAAAGACACTAGGTAAGCAGAAGTGTCTGTGCTGAATTCATTCTCTCTCTCCCCCCTCTATCTCTCCCCCTCCCAGCCCCCTCCCTCCCCCTCTCCCTCCCTTGCTCCTCTCTCTCTCCCCCCCTCTCTCTCTCTCCCCCCTCTCTCTCTCCCCCCTCTCTCCCTGCTCCTCTCTCTCTCCCCCCCTCTCTCCTCTCCCCCACCCCTCTCTCTCCTCCCCCCTCCCCTCCCCCCTCTCTCTCTCCCCCCCCTCTCTCTCTCCTCCCCCCCCTCCTCTCTCCCCCCCCCTCTCTCTCCCCCCTTCTCTTCCAACCTCTCCCCCCCTCTCTCTCCCCCCTCTCTCTCTCCCCCCTCTCCTCTCTCCACCCCCCCCCCCATCTCTCTCTCTCCCCCCCCTCTCTCTCCCCCCCCTCTCTCTCCCCCCCCTCTCTCTCCCCCCCTCTCTCTACTCCCCCCCCCTCTCTCTCTCCCCCTCTCTCTCTCCCCCTCTCTCTCCCCCTCCCTCTCTCTCCCCCCTCCTCTCTCTCCCCCCCCCTCCTCTCTCTCCTCCCCCCCCCCTCCTCTCTCTCTCCCCCCCTCCTCTCTCTCTCTCCCCCCTCCTCCTCTCTCTCTCCCCCCCCCCTCCTCTCTCTCTCTCTCTCTCTCCCTCCTCCTCTCTCTCTCTCTCTCTCTCTCCTCCTCTCTCTCTCTCTCTCTCCCCCCCCTCTCTCTCTCTCTCTCCTCTATCCCTTTCTCTCTCCTCCTTTCTCTCTCTCTCTCTCTCCCTCTCCCTCCCTCTCTCCCCCTCTCCCCCTCTATCTCTCTCTCCCCCCTCCTCTCCCCCATCCTCTCTCTCCCCCCCCTCCTCTCTCTCTCCGCTCTCCCCCCCCTCACCCCCCCCCCTCTCCCCCCCCTCTCTCTCCCTCTCTCCTCCTCCCCTCTCCCTCTCTCTCCCTCTCCCCTCTCCCCTCTCTCTCCCCTCCTCCTCTCTCCCCTCTCCTCTCTCCCCTCCTCCTCTCCCCACTCCCCTCTCCCCCCCTCTCCCCCCAGCTCCCCTCTCCTCCTCTCCCCCCTCTCCTCTCTCTCTCTCTCCCCCCCTCTCTCTCTCTCTCCCCCTCCCTCTCTCTCCCCCCTCTCTCTCTCCCCCCTCTCTCTCTCCCCCTCAGTCCCCTCTCTCTCTCCCCCCCTCTCTCTCCCCCCTCTCTCTCTCCCCCCTCTCTCTCTCTCTCCCCCCCCCTCTCTCTCCCCCCCTACTCCTCTCTCTCCCCTCCCCCCCTCTCTCTCCCCCCCTCTTCTCTCCCCCCCCCTCTCTCTCTCTCCTCCCCCTCTCTCTCTCTCCCCTCTCTCTCCCCCTCCTCTCTCTCTCCCCCTCCTCTCTCTCTCCCCCCCTCCTCTCTCGTCCCCCCTCCTCTCTCTCTCTCCCCCCTCCTCCTCCCCCCCTCTCTCTCCTCTCTCTCTCTCCCCCCCTCTCTCTCTCTCTCTCTCTCTCCTCCCTCCTCTCTCTCACTCTCTCTCTCCTCTCCACTCCCCTCTCCTCTCCGGCCCCCTCCTCTCCTCTCTCTCGTCTCCCCCCCCCCTCTCTCTCTCTCTCTCTCTCCTCTCTCTCTCTCCTTTCTCTCTCATCCTTTCTCTCTCTCTCACCTCTCCCTCTCCCTCCCTCTCTCCCCCTCTCCCCTCTCTCTCTCCCCCCCCTCTCCTCTCCTCTCCCCCCTCCTCCTCTCTCTCTCTCCCCCCCCCTCTCGCTCTCTCCTCTCCCCCCCTCCCTCCCTCTCCCCCCCCCCTCTCTCCTCCCCCCTCCTCCTCTCTCCCCCCTCTCCTCTCTCCCCCTCCTCTCTCCCCTCTCCCTCTCTCCCCTCTCCCCTCTCCTCTCCCCTCTCTTCTCTCTCTCTCACCCTCCCCTCTCCTCTCTCTCTGCCACAAAATCAATGTTTTATTATAGGTGTGCAATAAATTACCACCTTCTACGAGAGCGAATCTGTAGGAATAGATCAGACACGGGCACCTCTACTTCCTTAGCTTATTTTTTGGGCACAAACACTTACCTCACTTGTTAATAGGAGGAGAGAGCAGAGAGATCAAAATCTCACCACAGGCTGGGGAAGGACAAGACTTACCCCACTATATACTGCCATTCAACCACTATCTAGTGCATTATAACCCAAAACACCCCAACAGGCATCAGGTTCACCCACCTAAAGTTCTGTGTTGATACAGACATATTCTCTACAAGCCTAAAGACAGGCTTTAGTAACCATTCCGATAATGATCTACTTCCTCGCTTGTATAATAAATGCTCTCTCCAGTGTCTTTTTTTTTTTTTCCTCCTTTTTCTTCTACATGTTGTGGAAAATGTTAACAAGCTCCTTGTTAATACATGAGCACTGCAGCACAACAAGCTCATTGCGCTCCATGTCCTTCTCCCAGTCTGAGCTATACTGTACAGGGACTTCAAAAAGCTGACACCAAGTCAAATTCAGGTACTTGGACTGCTTGCATTTCATGCTGCAATAAATTTGTGTTTTACATCTATTTGGAGTTCAGCTTTATTACATACAACAGAGTATGGTTGGCTGCCTGAGTCGTGTTTATTGCGTTCAGTAGGATCCTTTGTTTGCACCGTGCTGAACTTTATAGGACATTGAATACAACATAGAGGATGATTTACTAAAACTGGAGATGCAAAATCCAGTGCAGCTTGGCATAGAAACAAATCTGCTTCTAGTTTTTTTAGACAAAGCTTAATTGAACAAGTTGACGTTAGAAGCTGATTGGCTACCATGTACAGCTGCACCAGATGTTGCACACTCCAGTTTTAGTAAATCAACCCCATAGTGTTACTTCCCAAGGGTTCACAAAAATGCCTGTGTGTCCAAACTGTATGATGTATTAGAATGGTTCCAGAAATGGGTGTCTAAAATGCTGCTGCTGAGAAGACATTATCCTATACTTGAGCTGAAATCCTTTGAGCAACCTGAAGAGACTGAGTTACTGTAATTATTGTAATCATTGTATCTTGTGGAAATATTTACATGCAGGTGTAAAATAAATAATAGAACCAAAGTTTACTGGCCAGTGTTCGAGTTAGTGGAGAGTCAGTTTTATATTAGATGTTTTGTTCCAAGGTCATGGATGCAATCAGCCTTACTAATTTTATCCAATAAAAAGCAATGTTACATTGACATTTTTGAAGTACACCGATTCAGTGTGTCTGAAAAGTCTGACAGTTGTTTCAGAACATTTAATAATTGATGGGGAGATGCTTTCAGTGGTTCAAGGCACAAAATTAAATATAAAGGATAATAGTCTCAGAGTGTAAGCTGAAAAATCTTTTTTTTTTTCCCCAAAGGAGGTTGAAAAGCAATGTCGCTGCGGAAAACACACCAAGCAAATGCCCTGTCATAAGCCTTATTTATGTGAGACCAAATGCCCTAAAACTCGGGACTGCCAGAGACATCAGTGCAAGAGGAAGGTATAATTACTATGGGTTTTCTGGATCATCAGGGTTTTCTTTAAAGCACAAATGAACCCTATTTATTTGTTACTGTAATGCAGTTAGGCTTCATATACAGTAATGAATTTGCCTCTTTTTTTGCGTATTTATTTAATAAGTGCTATGGCAAGGGTTTTTTTTTGTTTTTGTTTTTTTTTTTTTGAGTGCTAGTCTCCATATCAAAAATGAAGAGGTTACTAAATTTACGAAAATGTATTGTATTTTCGGATAAAAACTGTACTGATTAAATGAAAACTGTACGATATGGTATTGTATAAGAATTTTTTTATGCTTGTCCCTTCTAATAATTTTGGGAGAAAGCTGTGTACTGTCGCTTTGATATCTGTATTTTTTTTTGTATGATTTTCTGATCGTGTGTACTAGGCTTTAGGGAGAGAGATCAATATTGATTTAGAGTGTTCAGTTGGTTGTTTAAAGGGGAGGAAGGCATATTACTGTATATGCTGCCTGACCGCATTACAGTAACAAACTAAATGTGTGTAGTGGGGCTTTAAGATGGGGAAATAATGGAGTAATGTTTTAAAACCTGAAAAATAAGGCAGAAAGACTCTCACTATACTGTACTGCTTAAAAAAATAGTATCTTCCTTTTTTATGTTCTTATAACCTAAGAGTGAACTATTGCACAATATCTGTGGATCAAAAACATACTGGATATAATTTTTTTAAATGTTTTTAAACCAAAAAAAAAAAAATTGCACTGGCTCTGTAAATCAGTTAGTACATTGGCAGACAGAAATTAATTATTGACATGACAGATCACATTAATTTACGTGGTTGATTCTGCCTGTGCTGCTCCTCCTACAAGTAATCTGACCACATTTGCACAGCAACCCATCCATGCTAGTGTGGTCAGTTTATCTCTTGCCGTCATTCTGCTTAAGCTACAGGCACACATAGTCAATGCACAGCCGCGCCCTCCACCTGCCTTGGCTGATGGCGCATTCTCCTTCAAGGGAAGTGACGTTATGCCACCGGGACTGATTCATTCCATTGCCATGGAAATGCAGAAGCTTGGTGGCAATGTAACTTACAATTATGTACATGTACACTGGACTCTCCCACCAGCAGGTCCGTGCATCGCTGTGAAAGCAATAGCTATAACGTGACCTGTGCTTGTGAAGCTGGACAAACTGCAAAGGCAAGTTAAAAAAAAACAAAACAAAACACAAAGCACACAATTAATATAGGCCCAATTTTAGCTTTTGAAAAATGATTTTATCATTTAGTAAAGTTTACAACCTTTTTAACAAACCCGATACGTTAGAATGTTATTGGGTGACAAAGACTAAAACTAATACGAATAAACATGGTTGTCACTGCTGTGTCTCTGTCACAACCTGTAGGGGAGATTCAATCAGCCCTTATCCAGCCATAACTGAAATATCATTTTAGGTGGACTTTACGTAAGAAAAAAAAAGTCTTGCTAGGCAACCAGTAGCATGCTATACATACGAGGCAAAAAAAAAAATCCTTCTTCAGAAAATGCTAGTTGCCAGATTTTAATGCTTTTGAAACACTGACTTGGAGTAATAATACAGTTCGAGAGTCAGTGTGATGGCAGAACTTAGTCATTGACTTTTTGAAACTTCTGAAAACATTGGATCAACGTGACAACTGGTATTTTTAAAAGTTTACATCTGCAGAGGCAGCCTCCATAATTCCAAACTACAACTCTACAGGGAGGCTGTAACCTCCACAAGTCATAAACTCTTAGTTATATCACACTGTCTACAAAAGAGTTAGCAAAAAAAAAAACACAACACGTTTACTGTTGTATTTATGGAATCTGCAACCTGACAGGTTGTCTTGTCACATTGCTCTCCAAACACCACAAAGTGATTTCCATACCTTGCATCAATCCTAATAAGGCTGAGCCAGATGTGAACAACTTATGTGCTATAAAACAAAATCATCAGTTTGATGTGTGGTTATCCACTGGGCATAAAAGAATGATTTTCATGGCTCCACCCATTAAAATGAGCTATAAACCTTTATAACTATTCTCATTTCTTGCTTACTAAAGACGATGCAGAACTATATTATGGGTTTTCTTTGACCACCTATTGACTTCATAATGGGGACTTCATACACCTGAAGTCTGCTGTGCTGCAATAATCATTACGTGGTCACAGATGCCTGAGATGGATGAGTTTGAAACCAGAGACTTTTATTACACAAGCCTAATGGAAGCCAACAGTTCTAATAACAGCGCATAGCTTCCCGTGTTTCTCTATTTCTCATCTAATGTTACACATTGAAAAGTACTCATCCGTATCCATTTACCTCTTGCTGAGAGCCTTGAACAGCATTTCCAGTAGAAGTAGCACATCATTTTCAAATAAATCTTTTCTAATAAACCTATAGCAAATACAGTGCTTTAGTGGATTTCAAGATGTTTTAAATCAATTTTTTTTATTTTTTTTGTGGTGGTGTGTTGTGTGTTTGTTTGTTTTTTGTTTTACTTGACTGCATATCTTCTGAAGCATGTATGTATATGTGTGTGTGTCTGTGCGTGTATATATTGGTGAAGTATAAAAACGTGTGTCTCCTAAACAGACTTACATGTATTAAATAACTATTTAACATAGACACCTGCTTGATATGACCAGTCTTCTCAATGTGTGCATTACATGTTTCTTAAGCAAACATCAAAGGACACAGATGACTCAGATATTTATATATATATATATATATATATATATATATATATATATATATATATATATATATATATATATATATTTTATTTAATTTTTTTTGGATTATGCTCCCACCTTTGCATGAATGGACACCCAAAAAAGCCAGGAATCCCTGCTCAGGCATAACTACGCTTATCTAAGCCTCAGTTTTTAGCTAGTGTCCTTAGGTGTTGGATGTACAGTGTTTAGCACAAAAGAGTACACCCCTTTTTGAAAAGTAAGATTTGAATCAATATCTCAATGAACACGAGAACAATTTCCAAAATTTTGAACAAACTGAGTTTTATAGAACGTTTGCTTAGCTCATTACATGATAGTAAGGTTAACAATGTAACTTAGATTACAAAACCTTCAGTTTTACTCAAATTAGCTGATGCAAAAATGAATACACTCCACAGCAAAAACTACTACTTCTAGTATTTTCTATGACCCTCATGATTTGTAAGGACAGCACCAAGTCTTCTAGGCATGGAATGAACAAGTTGGTGACATATTGCAACATCTATCTTTGTCTATTCTTCAAGAACGACCTCTTTTACAGCCTGGATGCTGGATGGAGAGTGATGGTCAAATTGTCTCTTCAGAATTCTCCATAGGTGTTCGACTGGGTTTAGATCAGGAGACATATTTGGTCTCTGAATTACTTCAACCCTGTTTTTCTTCAGAAATGCAGCAGTGACCTTAGATTTGTGTTCTGGATCATCGTCATGTTGGAAAAGTGCGTGACGACCAGGGGAACGGAGTGATTGTAGCTCCTTCTGTTTCAGTATAGAGCAGTACATCTGTGAATTCATGATACCATCAATGAAATGCAGCTCCCCGACACCAGCAGCATTCATGCAGCGTCACAGAAGGACACTGCCACCACTGTTTTTCTGTAGGCACCATGCATCTTTCTTTGTACTCCTCACCTTTGTGACCTCATATAGTTTTGAAGCCATCAGTTCCAAAAAGATTTATCTGGGTCTCATCACTCCAGAGTACAGAGACCCAGTAGTTGTCTTCTTTTAGCATGGGCCCTTACAAAATCTAGGCGGGCTTTTTTTGTGCATGTTCTTTAGGAGAGGCATCCTACGTGGGCAACACCCATGCATGCCATTCATCTGCAGTGTACATCGTACTGTGTCATGGGAAACAATCAGTTTGTCTTTCTACTTATTTAGCTAACTGCAGTGAACTTGCATGGCGATTTTCTTCAACCCTTTCTTTCAGAAGATGCTCCTATTGAGGTGTTAACTTCCGTGGATGGCCTGGACATCTCTGTGAGATGGTTGCAGTTCCATCTTTGTTAAATTTTTGTATCACTTTTTTACAGTATTCTGACTGATAAGTAAAACTTTGCTGATCATCTTGTAGCCTTCACCTTTCTTGTGTAAAGAAATTTTCTTTCTCCGGCCTCGTGACATTTCTGTTCCATGTAGTGCTATTGCTGACAGCATGAAATGGGAAGGGATTCTCTTTCAGTAATGCCCTTTTATAATCAGCTGTCTGCTGGACACCTGTTTATTGAATAATTATACTTGCCTGTAGTTGAATTCTTGTACATTAGGATTTTGTCTAATGCAGGCCATGCATGGGTCAAATTCCAAATGCATTTTCTTTAGAAAACCGGAAATTTTGTGCGTCTTGTAGTCCGATGGTGCCACCATTGATTTTGAAATCCGACCAACCGAGCCTTTAATTTTTCCTCACGTTGCTACAGAAAAGAATTTTCGTGACCAAGAATTTTCTTTTCTATCCAGGTCACAGCTCATGCTCATTTCTTTTTCAATTACATTTCTCGCACGATTCTCTCATCATTGATTAGAAATTTGTATGTTTTTCAAAAAATTTCCAACATGCCCGATTGCTCAAATTCGGTGATCGCTCAAAATTCGACTGTTGCTGTGGCCCACTAATGGTGCGAAATTCAAACTAGAATTCTTAGAAAAGATTTTCTAAAGAAAATTCTTTTGCAATTCGACCCGTGTATGGCCAGCATGAAATTTTAGCTTTGCTTCTAAGACTTTCATTGGGGTGTATGCATTTTTGCAACATATTCCTGAATGAATTTGTTGGGAAACTTTAGTTTATTGTGTGTGAACATTAACAAATTTTATTTGCAATCGATAGCCTGCATTTGTAGGAGTATTTTGTAGTATAGTTTCCCATAGAAAATTTTGATTCTGAACGGAGAGTAAAGGTTTTCTGACAAATCTGTTGGGGTACACTCATTTTATGCTGGGCACTGTACCTCCCTGTTTCTCTCTGAAGATCT